TTTGCCAATCCCTTCTAGCCTGCTGTTTCTTTTGAGAAATCAGTTGATAGTCTTATGGGAACTCCTTTGTAGGTAACTACCTGCTTTCCTCTTGCAGCTTTTAAGAGTCTCTCTTTATATTTAAGCTTTGGCATTTTAATGATGATGCGTCTTAGAGTGGGCCTCTTTGCATCCATCTTGTTTGGGACTCTGTGCTTTTGGACTGACATGTCTATTTCCTTCACCAAATAACGGAAGTTCTTTTTCATTGTTTTTTCCAAATGGATTATTAATTTCTAGCTTTTCTCTTCTCCTTCTGGCACCCCACATGTGAATTGTGGAACATTTGAGGTTGCTACAGAGGTTCTTCACAGTAGCCTTTGTTCATTTTTTATTCCTTTTTCTTCTTCTTGTTTTTTATTTCTTTAAATTCTGAATCACTGATTTGATTCTTAGCTTTGTCCACTCTGCTGTTGTTTCCCTTTAAATTGTTCTGTATTTTAATTCGTATATCCTTTCTTTCTGACTGGATCTTTATTCTACTGCTGAAGTCCTCACTAAGTTTCTTGAGCAGCCTTATAAGCAGTATTTTGAACTCTGCATCTGATAGAGTGCTTATCTCCATTTTGTTTAGTTCTTTTTCTGGAGTTTTATTCTGTTCTTTGATTCGGGCCTTGTTTCTTTGTGTACTCATTTTCGTCAGCCTCCCTGTGTTTGTTTCTGTGTATTAAGTAGAGCTGCTATGACTCCCTGTCTTAGTAGAGTGGCCTAATGTTGTAGGTATCCTGTAGGGATCAGTAGCACAGCTTCCCCTGTCACCCAAGCTGGGTACTCAGGGTGTGCACTTTGTGTGTGCTGAGTATACTCTATTCTTGTAATTGAGCCTCAGTTGCTGCTGGCAGATTAATGGGAATGCTTTATGTAGGCCAGTAACCTGCAAGGATTGGTTGTGACCACTTACCACCATCCTCCACCCTCTGTGGAGGATCAGCTGTGCGGGAGCCAGGAGATGGTGCTCTTACATGGTTGTAGCTGTCCACTGGATGCACAGGCTCTGAGGTTTCTGATGTGGTGCAGGACAATGTTAGCTGCCTCCTGTGTTCTCCCTGAAGCTACCCTGCATGAGCTATCAAGCAATTTGAGTTGACTGCTACCTGTGCTGGGCTTGGATATTCCCAGGCAAAGCCAAGCTCTGAATCAAGGCTAGCTGCTTCCAGTGCCAGGCCTGGGGCCACTTGGGAAGATGTATGGAGGATGGTGGCTCACTGAGGCTGACTGTTGGTTGTTAAAGATGATTAAGAAGTTGTGAAGCATGATCCAAGACCAGCCATTCATATGGAAAGGCCACTGTTAAGAGCCTGGGTGGGTGCATAAATTGGGTGAGACAGAGTCTCAGGGAATCTCTAGGGCAGGGCAAACAGTGTAAGGCAGGTTGATGGAGTCTCAGATATGGCACCCACATGTGAGCTCTGTGGCTTTGTGGAAAGAGGATCCAGAAACGGGACAGTGGCCTCTGCCTGCCTTTTTTCCTGGAAGAAAACTGTTCCCCAGCTCTCACATTGATGCCAGACACTTCATTTTCTCCCAGTGTGCCACTGGTGACTCTCAAACTGCTAGTCCTGTGCTGAAGCCCAGAGGGAGTGAGCCTGAATCTGTATGTGTTTTCTTTAAGAAGTGCTTGGGACACTAGAAGTTTCTTCCCTCAACTCAATCTGCACTGATTTTTGCAGACAAGGAGAAGACTTGTCTTCCTGGCCCTGGAACTGTGGGCTGGGGGCTGTTGTGGGGCTGGGTTTCCTCACTGCTGAAATACTCCTCTCAAATTTTTATCCATCACATGCAGATATTCGACCTGACTGTTCCACAACTCCTCCCCCGTACCAGTGTGGATGGATAGGTTGCTTGAGTTCTGTAGTTGTTGGACTTCCACTCACTTCGATTCCTGACAGTTCTGAGTTATGGGTGTTCTATAGTTTAATTGTAATTTCATGTGGTTTTGCAAGGAGGAGGGCCATGTTTACTTATGCCAACATCTTGATCTCATTGATGATTGTTATATGACAAGATTATCACAAATTTGATGGCCAGATGGTAATTTTTCAAATACTATGTTTTTTCCTATGTTTATTAATTGTGTTCTCTTATAGGAAGGAAGTTACCCTTATTCCCCACTCATTTGTTTTCTGTTTGTTTATATCATTATGGACTCTTAGATTTTTACTTATTATTCTCTGAGTTATAATCCATTAAAGTTGTTACTCATTTTGAATGTGTAGGTATGTTTATTGTTTACAGGGATTCTAAATATTATCAGATAAGTCAACTAGGGAATATATATTAAAGGAATATAAGAAGTAAAACCTTGAAACCAAAGTCTAAAGGAATGTTCATACATGATTGTGTATCAGGAGTGAGACAGAAAGAATGAGGGATCAGAAGATAAGATATATATACACACACACACACACATATATATACATACATATATGTATACATACATATATATAAACATAAGTTTCCATTTCTTTATATGGAAAACCATATAGCTCGGAGAGTTAAATGGTTACAAAGAACCATTTACATAGTTCTTTGTAAAACCCATGAACTCGAACTGATATCTCTAATACTAGTTAAGACCCAAGAGTCCTTTGCAGCTTCTCCTTTTCTATGCACAGTACCTTTCCCATGAGATCGAGGAGTCACTCCCATCTCCTCAGCGTTTACTTGTTTGCTGAATCTTTGGATACATGGGAAGTAGTTCAGAATCTTGAACTCATACCACTGTTAATGACACACTAACTACAGTTTATGACTTTGTTTCCAGTTTTCTTTTGTTTGTTTTTTTTGTGGGAGTATATAGACAGAAATCTGGGTTCAGGAATTACTAGGGTACTTACATTATTTTCCTCTTTAGTCTAAGTATGGTATTTATTTAAAATAGAGTTAGGTTCATTTTTTCTCCTGATTCTATTTTGCTTTGTGCACCACCTGTTCTGTTTCTTTTCTAGTGGCAAAAGACAACATGGTCATAACCACGCTAATAATTATACTCACCTCCCATCTCTTCTGTCCACTTTCTCTGGGTAAATCACCTCATTAGTTTCTGATTTATTCTTCCTGTGCTTCTTTTTGCTCAAGTGGGCAAACATATGTATATTTTATTTCCCCTTAATTTTTACAAAACCTTCAGTAGTGTAAGTACTGTGTCCTTGTGCATGTTGATTGTTTCCATTTAACAATATATGAAGATGTTTCTCCATATTGATTCATAAATATGTTTGCCTTTTTTTTCACAGTTGAACATTACTCAATTTTAGTGATGCTCTTTAGAGTTTCCTGTAGGGGTCCTAAATTGAGATATTGATGATAAGTCTCCTAAATGCCACTGAATTGTGTGTCTTAGAAGGCTAAAGTGGTCAATGTCATGTTTTGTATATTAAACATCACTTAAAAATTAAAAAGACAGTAAGAAGTAATCTCTGCAGAAACCACAGAAAAGAATTACAAAATAGTAATAATGCATGATTAATAAGTTAGTAGAGGGGTAATGGAATATCAAATTATATATGAATATCAAAAGGGAGAAAAACAAGAGAGAATAAATGTTAAGCAGGTGTATTGCATAGTTATATGGAAAATACAAACTCAAATACATTATGATTACTTTAGATTTCAATAGAGACATAGCTCAAAAATAACAATTGTTGCTGCACATGAAAAGAACAAAATCTAAATTGATTTACACCATTGACAAAAGGACACCTTACTGACAAATTGGACACAGTAAAGTCCAAAGTAATGGGGAAAAAATGCCATGTAAAACTTAACATGAGAAAGGATGCATCTTTACTACATATACTATAGTAATACCTATATCTATATCTATATATACATCTGTGTCTACAGATGTAAAGTATTGATATTAATATGAGAAGTAGATGAACTATTATTTTAGGCCCCATTTCTAGAAATATCTGTATCCAAATATGTATCTATCTATCTGTCTATCAATCTATGTCTATCTGTATGTGTATCTATGTATATAGGTATAAAATATCAATGTTAATATGAGAACTAGATGAAGTATTAATGCAGGACACAATGTTAGAAATATCTCATTTTAAACAAAGTAGTGTGCTTTAAATGCATTTTTAAAAAGTCTGTCTCTCTTTGGTTGAAAATTTTGCTTTGTAGCACATGTGAATTTTCGTAGTATAATTATTCTGATCATGGCTGATTGCTGTCAGCCAGCATGACGTCATTGAATGTGAGCTGGGAAGACGTGTGCATAATGAACCTGAAGCTGACAAAAGCCAGCATAACAGAATCAGTTCAAAAAAGAAAGGAAAGTTCCTCAGTAGTAGGCCGTGACACTAAATCAGGTGTCCTCATAATACATAACAAAAATACATAAAGAAAAACTGACATATCTCAGTGGAGAAAAAAACAAATTCATAGTTAAAATTGTACAACAGGTTTTGCAAAAGATTTTGCACACACCTTATAAGAGATGATGAACAAGTGAAAAATGTTATGTAGGAATCAAGAATTATAAACAATCCAAGTAGCAAATGTGACCTCATTGACATATGTACTTCTTCAACCCTGTTAACAAACATTGTAAGGCCTGCTTTATATCTCTGTTCCTCAGGCTGTAGATGAAGGGGTTCAGCATGGGGGTAACTACCGTATGCATGACCGAAGCAATTATGTTTTTGGAATCCCATGATGAGGACAAAAAGTAAACACCTACAATTGTCCCATAGAATAAAGACACCACAAGGAGATGGGAGCCACAGGTAGAGAAGGCTTTCAAGAGTCTCCTAGTGGAGGGAGCCTTCAGGATGATGGTCCCTATACGGATATATGAGCCCAAAGTAATACCCAAAGGCAAAAGTAAAATCATTCCTCCCTCAGTGAGGATGACCAGCTCATTGAGGGAGATGTCTGAGCAGCTGAGCTTCAGGAGCACACTGAGGTCGCAGAGGAAGTGTGTGATGACATTGTTGGCACAGAAGGACAGTTGGACCAAGAGGACAGTGTGCAACAGTGCATGGGCACAGGCAATAATCCATGATACAGCTACCAGCAGCACACACAACTCCTCCCTCATGATGGTGGTATAATGTAGAGGGTGACAAATGGCCACATACCTGTCATATGCCATCACTGCCAGAAGAAGATTATCAACACAACCAAAAAATATATAAAAATACAACTGAGAAATACACCCTGGGTAGGAAATGAAGAAGTGATGAGTCTGCATGTTCATCAGCATCTTAGGGACAGTGACAGATGAGAAAGAGACATCAGTGAAGGCCAGGTGGCTGAGGAAGAAGTACATGGGCGTGTGCAGGTGGGAGTCCAGCCTGATGAGCAGGATGATGAGCAGGTTGCCCAGCACTGTGGTCAGGTACATGCCCAGGAACAGGGTGAAGAACACACCCTGGTGCTCTGGCAGGATGGGCAGCCCCAGGAGGAGGAACTCAGACACGCTGCTCTGGTTCTCAGGCCTCATGCTGCTCTTCTGTCTGCTGGGGACAAAGGAGGTTTGGGAATCTCAGGATCCTAGAAAGACAAGCAGGACCATCTTCATACTGTAATTTAATGGGAAAATTATGAAATTTTCTTCCCTTTCCTGCGTCCACCTAATCCACACTCCCCCACTCCCTTAGGCCATCACCACAGAATGGGTCATGCATGTATCTTCTTTGGCTAATTACTTCACCTGCCAGGTGCCGTTAACCTACAGCTATAAACTCAGTGCCACTCCAGAAATGAGTGACTATTTAAAGCCCTTTGATGCCAAAATAGCTCTGAAACCAGAACAGTCCACAAACTCTTCCATAGTAATGCTGGCCATCCTGGGGCCATAAACACTGCTCTGCATATTAAGTCAGGGGCTTTGTCTACCTTTTATAATCCAACATCAGCCTTACATTCCCAGACTAAAACATCTTCACAACTACAGTAAGAATGACTACTCTTTCTCTCTTATATTAGCTGCAAGGAAATAGAAACATAAAAATGATATAAATCTTATGTGCATATGTAAACAGTATGTATTACCATTTTTTATAGGTTAAAAAATATCAAATACTTTTTAATAGCCAATAATGGAATAACTTTTTATGGTGACAAGTAGTTATTTAAATGTTGAATCACCATGTAGTACACACCTGAAACTAATATTGTGTTGTATGTCAACTATAATCAGAATAAACTTAAAGGGAAAAATTATCAAATTTGCAGGTCAGTCTACTCCATCTGCATGATCAGAGCCTGTGCGCTTAACTACCACCCATGGACACCTCTCCCATCCTTGGTAACACCCTGGGTTACTGTAGGGTTGCAAGCAGGTCAACAGTTTCTTAGATCCCTACCTAGATAGTTCCCTTCATTTATATTGATCTGCTTTCCAATTGAGAAAAGACCATTACATTCATTATCATTGATTCAGAAGTACATATTTGTTGCACACTCAGCCACACACACTCTACAACAAACAGCATACACCTTCCTATTAATAATGAGGGCCTGCTTCCACCCTTTCTGACCCATCCCCTTCCTGGGGGAAGGCCACCAGCATGGGGCAGTTAAGCCTATTCAGTCACAGGCACACTGATTAAACCACCACCAACATCCCATGCCCATGGTCACACAACATGGTAACACAGAGAGAAAACCAAACAGTACACCTTCCTGCTCTCACACACCAGTGTGTCACCCACAGACACAGCTCTCATGTACACCAGCACATGCTGCTGGGCAGCGTGTGAACCCTCTCTGACCTGACCTTAGCTCCAGTGAGGTCAGTTGTCTTCTTGTCCAGCACCAGAGCCAACAATGTCACCTCTGATGCTCAGCTGTGATGCAAGTACTTACGATCACAGGCATGAATCAGGAGTCCTGAATCACACACCAGGAGGCTGATACAGGGGTGTCCAAACTTTTGGCATCTCTGGGCCACACTGGAAGAAGAAGAGTTGTTTTGGGCCACACATTAAATGCATTGTAACACATAAGCACAAAAAAAATCTCATAATGTCTTAAGTAAATTTATGATTTTGTGTTGGTCCATTTCATAGCCATCCTGACCTGCCACAGGCCCATAGGCCACAGGTTCGACACCCTTGGTATATACACTGAAGCAGCCCAGGTTAGGTCTCACTGATGAAAAGACTCAGGCTGTGAGTCAGATACACAGCACAAGCACACACATGAAACTACCAAATGACATGTACACAAGGATGCATGTATGATACACAGAGACAGAGAGTATCACACAGAAGTCCACCTGTCCACAGGCAGATCCATAGTCAAGTGCACATTTACAGCTCCTCTGACTTGAGCTCATCCTTGGTGATCTCAGACCCTTCTGCTCCAGAATGTGGCCTGACTCCTCAGCTTCTCTTTAGGAGACTCAGACAAAAAGAAGAAATCTCTGTGGTCTCAGTGCTTCTGCAGGTGTTTATGTTTCTTAACCAACTCCAGAGCCATGAGCAAAAAGGTAACATATTAATTACTGATATGAGGACTGAAACAAAGTCCCCAAGCTTCTGGGTGAGGGAGGAGCCACCACAGGGTAATTGGCCCACTTCTGACTGCCCTTTGGGGAGCTGTGTGTCCAGGACCACAGGGGACTGAAGTTCCAGGGAACAGTGTCCCTGATGCCAGTGATGCCTTTCTTCTTGGACATGGATCCAGCTGGGACAAAGGATTTTTAAAAAGAGATTGTAATAATGGCTTGTTTAGAAAGGTGTTGGTCAGTTTGAGGAGAACTGTTATGGTGTGGTGAGGGCTAGAAACAGTGGAGAACAGGTACAAGGGGAGGGTTGGTCATCAGAACCTGGTGAGACATGAAGGTTTAAGAGAGGACCCCTAAACAGGAACTGTGGATGGCCACTGTCACCCCATGGTCCAGCAGGGAGAAAACAGACTAAATGCCCCAACCTCTTTCTCCTTCTGCCTTTGATCTTTTGCTTGTGTTTTCCATTGGCCTATCCCAAAGGGCCAGGGAGCCCACTTGATGCAGCCCATAAAGGTCCGACTCCTGAGACAAAACAGGGTTGTAGAAGCTGGAGAATGGACTGGGGGCAGTGGCGAGTATCTTGCATACATTAGCAGACATACATAGCATACATTATCTATGCTATAGATAATACAAGGTCTGTCCGGAAAAAGCCCAGCCATTGTTAATATAAGGAGAACAGTTAGTGTGACATTAATGTAACTGGCAGCCTAGGCGAGTGGAGTGCAATGCACGTGTGTGTGTATGATGATGACTTTATTATACTAGTCAGTGGGGACAGTACACACTGTTGAATGAGCATGTATACTGTGTGGCTTTCACGTTCAAAATGACTGAGCAAGTAGAGCAATGAATGTGCATCACATTTTGCGTTAGGCTTGAACATTCTCCCCAGAAACTATTTGGATGATCCAGAAGGCCACAGCTATGGGCAGCTGGTGAGTGGCCTCTTCATCATGACAACATAGCCGTTCATGCATTATATCTCGTGGAGAGTTTTTTGAAGAAACACCAAATCACCCAGGTGACACAGCCCCCCTACAGTCCAGATTTGGTGCCCTGTGACTTCTAGATTTTCCTAAAACTAAAATCATCTTTGAAAGAGAAGAGATTTCAGACCTTTGATAACATTCAGGAAAATATGACAGGGCATCAGATAGTGATTGGGAGAACTGTGTGAGGCTCCAAGGTGCCTACTTTGAAGGGGACTGAGGCATCCTTGTCCTATTTACAATATTTCCGGTATCTTGTATGTTCTTCAATAAATGTCTTTATTTTTCATATTACCTGGTTGGATACCTTCTTGACAGACCTCATATATCATTATGAATTCACAATTCTCATTTAATTTCTGAGTTATAACCCATTATAGTTGTTATTCTTTTTTAATATATTATTATTTCAGATTCATTTAATATTTATGAGTTGAAGGGCCCAGCAAATTATAGAACTAATGGTGAAATGAAAAATTGGGGAAAAGTATTTTCACTCTCTAAACAAGAACATAGGTGTTTCAGAGTTGAATGCTATATTGAGGATTCTGATTCATGGTATCTGGCTTGAGTGTCCATCCCCTTGGCCACCACAGTGTACCATCTTCAACCCAGCCAATTAGCATCTGGGCATCTTCAACTCAGCCCATTAGCATTTTCTCTTGGGCTTCTGGATGCTGCTTCATTCTGACCTCTTTAAGGAGAAAAATTTCTGGTCACTCATATGCTTGCACAAAAGAGATACTTATTTCTGTGGTTTTAGTGTAATCTGTCCCTTTTTCTGTCAAAGCTGTATCTTTGCATAAACAAAACTACATCTGGGAAGTAAATTAAAAACTAATCCCATTTGCAATAGTATCAAAAACAATTAAATGATCAGGAATAAATTTAGCAAAGACGTGAAGTACTTGTATACTGAAAACTGTAAGACATTGAGAAAGAAATCAAAGAAGACATAAGTAAATGGAAATATACCCAATGCTCATGGATTGGAAGAGCTAATATTGTTAAAGTATCCATGCAACTCATACTGATCTGCAGATTTTATGCTATTCCCATCAACATCCCAATGATAGTTTTTATAGAAATAGAAAAAACATTCCTGAAATGTACAAGGAACCTAAATGTCCCACAACAGCAAGCAATCTAAAACAATAACAATGCTGGAGGCATCACACTTTTTTATTTCAAACTATACTACAATGCTGTAGTGATCAAAACAGTATGCTCCTGGCACAGAAATGGACACATAGGTCAATAGCATAGATTAGATCACCTATGCATATGTGGTTGACTAATATTTGATGATGGAGTCAAGAATAGTCAATGGAGGAAAAACAGTCTCTTCAAAAAATGGTGCTGCTGTTACAGAACAACAAGGGGATATACTATTACCCAAGGGCAAGGGCAATATACTATTACCCAAAAGGATCCCGCAGGTTCATTATGTCCACCATCTATAGGAAAGATGTCTCTCAATGCCAGAGATTCGTGAAAAGGAAAGGAAATGTTTATTTAATGCTATACAAACTTAAAGTAGTGACCTAATGTCTTCTTCAAAATCCCAAAGTCCCTTAAAACACCCACAAACACACACAATCCTTCCTTCCCCCTTTGCCCATTCTGGGGTACTGTATCTCAGGAAAAGAAATAGAATTCTTCAGGCAGCCCCTGGTTCATCTCAGTAGTTTGTCTTGGCTGGGAGACCTCCCTTGGTTCCCCACACCCTCAGCTGTGTTGCCAAGATCTCTGTTAAAGCTGGGTGGTGGTTCCCCCTACTAATGCTGCGGGGATCTCCACTCTGGCAAAGGCATGAGGTTCACTCCACTGCTCCAGAAACATGGTCCTCTCTCCCAGGGCCACAGGAGTCCCCACTCAGCCAAAACCATGTGGTTCTCTCCTGCAATGGCTGCCGTGTCTGGGTTTTAAATCCCCATGTCAGCCTTCCTCTGCAGCCCCATTCCTGACTCCTCCCGCACTCGGCCACACTTGCCATCAATCTCACATCCTTTCCAGCTTTACTGGGCTGCCCTCATGGGTCTGGGCAAGTGTGTCCCCTTGTCATGGAGCCAATCTTCTCCGAGCTCCCACGTAGGCGCTGTCACTCGGGGGACCTGTCCCCCAGTCACATATTGCGGGGGAGTCCCTTTCTATCCCCCTCGCCCAGAGCATGGTCACAGATATTTAGCATATCTAAGTGACCAGCCAAAGACTATAGGTATGTTAAATGACCATGCCATGGATTAGCTGCAAAGCTGTTGCTGTGCAAAACAGCCCTGCATGTTCTTGCTCCATGTGTCCCTTCCCCCAACTTACACCTGTGGGGGAAGGGGTGAAGATATCTTGTATGTCTTTTTAATATTTCCTGGACACCTTGAGTTCTGCACCCCATTTCAAATGCCAATTTAGGGTCCCCTCACTTGGCTGCACCCTGTAACATTCCCTCCTTTCAGATATGCACTCACTTTATAATATTATAAAGGAGAATGGATGAAGGTCTCATCTTCTGTAACTACTTCTTGCTGGACATGATGTTGTGCTACCTACCCTTGGGTCAGGGCTGCCCTGAAGTGGGGGGGAGGTGCAGAATGGAGGGAGTCCTTCCTGTAAGGGGAAGGACCTTACAGAATCCTGGTCAGTTGCTGTCACCAGGAAGTCACAGGCTTGGTGTCCAAAGGCTGGCATTGCTGGACTGTTGGCATCCTGGTCATATTATGGAGGTGACAGATTTGGAAGGAGTTGGAAGGCACAATTACATCATAACCACTAAATGTCAAAGGCAGTGGCTTAAGTAAGGAATGGCTTATCAGGAGGAAGGTGTACAAGGCATGCTACACCTATCCAAAACTCTTGTGGCCCACTATACTTCACTTGGGCTGTGGGGAATACATTAGGATTTCCCTCCTTTCATATTTCTGGGCCCTTTCTGTCCAAGCCATCAAAACAGAAAAGGGAAAATCAGTTCTAAAGTGAAGCCCACAGGCCGCCCGAACCATTCACCAACCCAACCACTCAGTTCAGCCAAGCCGTTGAGTCTCAGTGGGTGATGATGGATATGGACTCCTTAAGTGAGGTTTATATTCACTCATTCATTCAAACAATCACTCGGGTAATGAAGTCATAGGCATATGCCCTATGAAAACAGAAGAACACACAGGTTAATTCACACAACCATCCCCAAACCTGCCTCTGTGCCTGTGAGACCATCTTTTGGGAAGACATTCAGTTGCAAGGTCCTTCCTGCAATAATATTTAGCAATGGCAATTTGACAAGTCATCCATACCTGTAAAATTGTACATCTTTGGTGACATTATAAACCCAGTTTCAACTTTCAAATGAAAACAAACTTTCAAGACTGTTCGCTGAGCCATACTTATGTCCAATACTGAGCACTGTGATTTTCCTTGAACCACAATTTTTCTCCTTAAGATCACCTTCCTTGTTATTAAATGGACTACTTTGAGTCCCACTGTTGATTTTAACTATTCATTTGCATAAACACACCAAGAGTAGCCTGGATCACTTATGATCTTTAAGTCCGCTTTGGCTGGAACTCACACAGGGAACCTTTAGATTGACTTTTCAGTCTGCCCCTCGGCGCACAGAAGTACAGCCACACATTCGCCATCTGGCTTCGCCTGTACCAGTTGTTTCACTCAAATCCTTGAAGCTTCCATTGTGCCTACAGGTTCCTGTTTGGCCATCTTTCAGAAAAGCAACCTTCGTTCCTTCCCTGGAAAGACTGCCATGAACCGCATAACCACCCAAAGTACCAGGCTTTTCTCATGGGCTTATGCTAGCTTTGCAAGTCAATCCTAGTTCCTCAGGGCTTTCTCGTGACGACCAGAACGCAGACATGCCTCCTTCAGGCATGATGTTCCAGCCAAAGTCTTGGTTAACAAAAACACTATTAACAACTGCTCTTATTGGTTTTATGCAAAGAAACCTTATGTCATCACTCACTCCTTCAGAATGCCAAGTTTTGGAGGGGTCAGGTGGGGAGAAAAATACAAAATGTGGAGGAAAATCCTTTCCCTTCTGTTTTCCACCAGGCTTCTCAAAACTTTCGCTTCCCCGGACTTTTTGCATCATTCACAAACCCTCTATTCTTTTTTCTATACACCTTCTGATATCCATCAAGATTGCATCTCCATGCCTTATAGCTTCTATTATTAACTAACACCACATAATTCTTTCTTAAAACTTTCACTTTTCCATTTATCTTTATGGTTTTCCACAGACCTTCTGCAACATTCACAAACCCTTTATTCTTTCTTTCATACTCCTTCATTTACATATTTCTACTCATCCAGATTTAACTATCATTCTCTTTTAGTCCTGGTTCCTTTCTCACACCGGGAAGGATTATACTTAAACTCAGTAAGTGGAAGGTAAAAGTCCCTAGCTTTACAAACACTTTCATGACATGACAAACACTGCCACCCTGTACCGGGATTCATTGTCTCTTTCCAGAAGAGGAATTCACACCTTCCTCCGGAGTGCAGGTCCAACTTGCCCTTTCTGCCTCAGCTGCAGCAGCAGGGTCTTCATCTCCCTGTTTACCCGTGTGTGGTGAATCCAGGGCTTAATTCCCATCAGCTTCAGGGAGGAATGTGTTGTCAACAGCACATCGTAGGGACCAGTCCATTGTTCAGACAGCTGCTGTTCAGGGCCTTGGCTCTTCCAGGTCTTTAGTAGGACCTGGTCCCCTGGCTGGAATGGGTGCAGGGGCTCATCAGAGGGGTAGACAGACCTGCAATGAGCAAACTTGTGCAAAGTGGTTAGTGTCTGCCCTAAATGCTGTACATATTGCTTCGTTCATGCCTCGTGCTCCAAATGCAGAGGCGGTTTACCTAAGACAAATTCGGAGGGGTTTCCCATAAAGTGTTTCAAAAGGGGCTCAGTTTAAACCTGCTTCTAGGTGCCACTCTGATTCGGAGCAAAGCAATGGGGAGTGCCTGGTCCCATTTTAAATGTGTCTCCTGGCATATTTTTGCCAAAGTCTTCTTTATGGTGTAATTCATTTTCTCAGTCTTTCCTATGGACTGAGGTCTCCAAGATGTGTGCAATTCCATTGTATCTGCAATGCCTGTCCGACCTTCCCGGAGATTTCTGAAGGGAACGATGGTCCATTGTCACTTTCAATGCTTTGGGGAAGTCCAAACCTGGGAATTATTTCTTTAAGCAACAGTTTTGCCACCTCAGGTTCTTTTTCAGTCCTGATGGGGTATTCTTCTACCCACCCAGAAAAAGTATCCACAAAGACCAACAAGAGTCTGAAATTTCCCTTCATTTTAGGCATTTATGTGAAGTCCACCTGCCAGTCCTCGAAGGGGCACACGCCTTTGTATTGTATTCCCTTTTCTGTGGGAACACACTCTGCCTTAGGATTGTTTCTGGCACATATCTGACAGGCTTGGCTAATCCTGTGGATAATCCTTTGCAAATAAGGGCCCTTCAGGTATGGCCTAATGAAATCCATTAGAGCATCCCTTCCATAGTGGGTCCCTTCATGTAGGTGCTTGAGGACAGAATACACCAGAGCCTCAAGGAGTAAAATCATATCAGGAGGTATGATTTGGGCGTTGACCTTCCACATAGAATTGGGACCAGTGTTAGTGAATCCCCACTCACGGGCCTGCACCTCATCCTGTTCCGTGGAATGAGGTTTAAACTCTGACAAGTCCAGATGGGGAACCAGAGCTGCTAGGTGTGGGCACTCCTTGGCTGCTTGTCTTGCTGCTTTGTCAGCAATTTGGTGTCCCTGACTGGTTTGGGAACCATCCCTCTGGTGTCCTGGGCAGTGCATTATAGCAACCTTGTCTGGTACGTTCACTGCCTCTAGTAGCGGTAAAAATACCTCTGAGTGTTTAACATCCTTATTCCCTGAGGTCAAAGGTCCTCTTTCTTTCCATATTGCTCCATGGGCATGGACTACCATGAAGGCATACTTAGAATCTGTATCTATATTAACTTTCTTTCCTTGGGATAGCAGTAAGGCTCTTGTGAGGGCTATTAGTTCAGCCTTTTGTGCTGAGGTTCCTGGCGTAAGGGCCTGGGCTTCCACTACCTTGTCTGCTTTGGCCACTGCATACCCCACTCGTCACTGGCCATTGCCCATGAAGCTGCTTCTGTCTGTATACAGGTCCCAGTCCAGTGACGCCAGCGGCTGGTCCATCAGATCTGGCCTGCTAGAATAAACTTGGTCAATTATTTCGAAGCATTCATGCTCAAGGGCAGAGTCCCCCTTCATATCTGGGAGTAGGGTGGCTGGGTTCAGGGTTGTGGTGGTCTGTGAGATAACATTTGGATTGTCCAGGAAAATGGCCTGGTATTTGCCCATACACCCTGCTGTCAGCCAATATCCTCCTCTCTGATCTAGTAGAGTCAGAATCTGATGTGGCACCAACACTGCAGTAGGTTGTCCCAAGGTAAACTTCTCAGCTTCCTGTAAGATGTCACAGGTGGCTGCTACTGCTTGGAGGCACGGTGGCCATCCTTTCGTTGCGTGGTCCACGTTTTTTTAGAGAGAGGCTGTGGGTCTGGGGATATTTCCCAGGGTCTGGGTTAGCACCCCTAGTCCTATCCCCTGCCTTTCATGAATATATAATTTGAAAGGCTTCTGTAAGTCCGGCAGTCCCAATGCAGGGGCCGGAGCCAGCTTCTCCTTCAAAGTATCAAATGCTACCTGACAATCCCCTGTCCATTCTAGGGGTTCAGAGTCCCGTCCTTTTAGGGCATTATACAGTGGCTTTGCTATGAGTCTAAAGTTTGGAATCCAAATCTGACAAAACCCTGTAATTCCCAAGAACCCACGAAGCCGCCTTCGATTTTCTGGGATTTTTAGCGTAGCAATGGCTTGCTTTCTATCTGCCATCAGACTCCTGGTACCTTGTTTCAGCTGAAATCCCAGATATGCCACTTCCTGTTTGCAAATTTGGGCCTTATGACGTGACACTTTATATCCTTTCTTTGCCAAATGATTTAGAACCGTGAGGGTGTTGTGCAAACAGTCCTCATAGTTACTGCTGGCTATTAACAGGTCATGCACATATTGCAAAAGAACTCCCGATTTCAACTGAACATCCCTTAAAGCTTTTGACTGCACTTACCCGAATATTGTCCGGGAGTTCTTAAATCCTTGTGGCAGCACAGTCCAGCAGTATTGGGGCTTGGCTTTCGTCTCTGGGTTCTGCCACTCAAAGGCAAACAATTGCTGAGCCTGCTCATCTATCGGGATGCAAAAAAAAAGCATCCTTTAAGTCCAGGACTGAAAACCATTTGCTATCCCCAGGCACCATAGTCAACAGGTATAAGGGTTAGTTAGGCACAGTATGGTGAATGTCCTGGACAATGTCATTGATGGCACGGAGATCCTGTACAGACTGGTACTCATCTGAATGTGGCATTTTATTTTATTTTTTATTTATTTATTTTTTAGGATGAATCCAAAGCAGCACTCTTTTTTTTTTTAAGATTTTATTTATTTATTTTTAGAGAGTGAAGGGAAGGAGAACGAGAGAGAGACAGAGAGACAGAGAGAGAAACATCAATGTGCAGTTGCTGAGGGCCGTGGCCTGCAACCTAGGCATGTGCTCTGACTGGGAATCGAACCTGCAATGCCTGGATTGCAGCCCGCGCTCAATCCACTGAGCTTGCCAGCCAGGCTGAGTGTGGCTTTTTGACTGGCAAAATGGGAGTGTCGTATGGTGACCAGCAAGGCCAAATTAATCCTGATTTCAAAAACTTCTGCAACACTGGCTGGATCCCCTGTAAAGCCTCCTTTTTGAGGGGATACTGTTTCTTTCATGGGATCTGCACCCCTTCTTTCAGATTTATCTATATGGGCTGTATGTTAACTACATTACCTGGAGTTCTGCCAGCTCAAACAGTTTGATTGACCCGCTTGCAGATCTCAGGTGGGAAGGGTTCACCTCCAGGGCCTCCAGGACAGGTCAGGAAAGCCTGCAACTGGATGGCATTTTCCAGGAGGACTTCCACGCACAGCTGCTGTTGCTTGGAGGAAAACGTTATTTGTACATGCAGTTTACACAGCAAATCTCAGCCCAACGATGGAATGGGACAATCAGGCATATACATAAAACTGTGTATAAGGTTTTCTGTTTTTGTACCTGGCCAGACACACCAGCAACTGCTACTGTTACAGAACAAACAAGGGGGGCCTGGGACAATATACTATTATTGAAAAAAAGCCCCCAGTTCTGTCATGTCTGCCACCTGAGGAAAGACGTCCCTCAATGCCAGAGATTCGTGAAAAGGAAATGAAATGTTTATTTAATGCTATACAAAGCAGTGACCTAATGTCTTTATCAAAAATCCTAAAGTCCCCTTTAAAACCCCCACAAACAGACACAGTCCTTCCTTCCTTCCCCCTTTGCCCAGTCCAGAGTACCGTATCTAAGGAAAGGAAATAGAAGTCCATGGCTCAGGCAGTCCTCTGGTTCTTCCCAGTTAGTACTCCGTCTCGACTGGGAGACCTCTCTTGGTTCCCAGCACCCTCAGCTGAGTCGCCGGGATCTCTGCTGAAACCAGGTGGTGGTTCCCCCTTCTAAAGCTGTGGGGGTACCCACTCTGGCAAAGGCACGTGGTCCTCTCTCCCAGGGCCATGGGAGTCCCCACTCTGCCAGAGCCACATGGTTCTCTCTCTCAGGGCTGCGGGAAGGGAGAGTCCCCACTCTGTCCAGGCTGCGTGGTTCTCTCTCAATGGCTGCCATGTCTGGGTTTAAATCCCCGTGCCAGTCTTCTTCTGCAGCCCCATTCCTGACTCCTCCTATACTCGGGCACACTTGCCCTCAATCTGCTGTCTTCTTCAGCTTTTCTGGTCGTCGTCGTGGGTCTGGGCAGGTGTGACCCCATGTCCTTGAGCCAACCTTCTCCGAACTCCCACGCAGGCGCTGTAACTCGGGGGACCTGCCCCCCAGTCACATCTTACGGGGGAGGTCCCTTTCCATCCCCCTGGCCTTGAGCATGGCCATAGCTATTTAGCACATGTAAGTGACCAGCCAAAGGCTATAGGTATGTTAAATGACCATGCCATGGATTAGCTGCAAAGCTGCAAAGCTCCAGAGCATGTTCTTGCTCTGGGTGCCCCTTCTCCCAACTCACACCTGTGGGGGAAGGGATGAAGAGACCTTAAAATCTCCTGGACACCTTGAGTTCTGGACCCCATTTCAAATGCCTACTTGGGATCCCCCCTCTTGGCTGCACCCTGTAACAACCCCAATGTGAATGTTGGAACATTTGAGGTTGATACAGAGGCTCCTTACAGTATCCTTGGTTTCGTTTTTGATTCCTTTTTCTTCTTGTTGTTTTTTATTTCTTTAAGTTCCAAATCTCTGATTTGATTCTCAGCTTTGTCCACTCTGCTGTTGTTTCCCTTTACATTGTTCTGTATTTTAATTCATGTATCTTTTTTCTGACTGGATCTTTTTTTATTCTGTTGAAGTCCTCCCTAAGTTCCTTGAGCAGCCTTATAGTCAATATTTTGAACTCTGCATCTGACAGAGTGCTATGTTTATTTTGTTTGGTTCTTTTTCTAGAGTTTTATTCTGTTCTTTGATTTGGGCCTTGTTTCTTTGTGTACTCATTTTGTCAGCCTCCCTGTGTTTGTTTCTGTGTGTTAGGTAGAGCTGCTATGACTCCCTGTCTTAGTAGAGTGGCCTAATGTTGTAGGTGTCCTGTAGGGACCAATAGAACAGCTTCCCCTATCACCCAAGCTGGGTGTTCAAGGTGTGCATTTTGTGTGGGCTGAGTATACTCTCTTCTTGTAATTGAGCCTCAGTTGGTGCTGGCAGGTTAATGGGAATGCTTTATGCAGGCCAGTCACCTGCAAGGATTGGTTGTGACCACTTACCACCATCCTCCACCCTCTGTGGAGGATCAGCTGTGCAGGAACCAGGAGATGGTGCTCTGACATGGTCTGTAGCTGTCCACTGGATGCCCAGACACTGAGGTTTCTGATGTGGTGCAGGACAAGGTTAGCTGCCTCTTGTGTTCTGCCTGAAGTTACCCTGCATGAGCTATCATGAGATGATTGCTACCTGTGCTGGGCTTGGAGGTTCCCAGGCAAAGCCAAGCTCTGAATCAAGGCTGGCTGCTGCTAGTACCAGACCTGGGGCCACTTAGCAAGAGGTATAGGGGATGGCGGCTCACTGAGGCTAGCTGTTGCTTGTTAGAGATGATTAGGAAGTTGAGAAGCATGAGCTAAGACCAGCCATTCCTATGTAAAGGCCACTGTTAACAGCCTGGGTGGGCCCATAAGATGGGTGAGAGAGAGTCTCAGGGGATCTCTAGGGATGGGCAAACAGTGTAAGGCAGGTTGATGGAGTCTCAGATATGACACCTACATGTGAGCTCTGTGGCTTTGTAGAGGGAGGATCCAGAAAAGGGACAGTGGCCTCTGCCTGCCTTTTTGCCTCTAAGAAAACTGTTCCCGAGCTCTCACCTTGATGCCAGACACTACATTTTCTCCCAGTGTGCCACTGGTGCCACTCAAACTGCTAGCCCAGTGCTGGAGCCCAGAGGGGGTGAGCCTAAATCTGTACATGTTTTCTTTATGAGGAAGTGCTTGGGAGTCTAGAAGTGTCTTCCCTCAACTCAATCTGCACTGATTTTTGCAGACAGAAGTTATGGAGACTTGTCTTCCTGGCCCTGGAACTCTGGGCTGGGGGCTGTTGTGGGTATGGGACTCCTCACTCCCGAGATATTCCTGTATAAATTTTATACACCACATGTGGATGTGGGACCAGGCTGTTCTACACTCCTCCCCTTATACTAGTGTGGATGGGTGTGGTTTCTTTAATTCCATAGTTGTCATACTTCCTCTCAACTCAATTCCTTACAGTTTTGAGTGATGGGTGTTCTGTAGTTTAGTTGTAATTTGATGTGGTTGGGCAAGGAGGAGAGCTGTGTTTATTTATGCCACCACCTTGATCTCATTGATGATTCTTATATGACAAGATTATCACAAATGTGGTGATCAGAGGGTAATTTTTCAAATAATATGTTTTTTCTTATGTTTATTGTGTTCTTTTATAAGAAGGAAGTTACCCTTATTCCCCACTCATATTTTATTCTGTGTTTATATCATTATGGACTCATATATTTTTCTTATTATTCTCTGAGTTACAATCCATTACAATTGTTATTCATTTTGAATCTCTATGTGTGTTTATTATTTACAAGGATTCTAAATAATACTAGAGAAGACAACTAGGGAATATATATAAAAGGAACAAGAGGAAGTAAAACCTTGAAACCAAAGTCTAAAGGAATGTTTATACATGGGTGTGTATCAGGAGTGTGACAGAAAGAATGAGGAATCAGAGGATAAAGATAGATAGATAGATAGATAGATAGATATACACAAAAGTTTCCATCTATTTATAATTTTTAAAACCCATGAGCTTGAACTGATATCTCCAATTCTAGTTAACACCAGAGAGTCCTTCTGCAGCTTCTCCTTTTGTATGCACAGTACCTTTCCCAGGACAGCGAGGAGTCACTCCCTTCTCCTCAGTGATTACTTGTTTGCTGAATCTTTGGATACATGGGAAGTAGTTCAGAATCTTGAACTCATACCACTGTTAATGACACGGTAACTGCAGCTTAAGACTTTGTTTCCAGTTTTTTTTTTATTGTGAAGGTATATAGACAAAATTCTGGTTTCAGGAATTACTAGGGTACTTACATTATTTCCCTCTTTGGTCTGATTATGGTATTTATTTAAGACATACCTAGGTTCATTTGTCTTTTTGATTCTATTTTGCTTTATGTTCCACCTCTTCTATTTATTTTCTAGTGGCAAAAGACAACATGGTCATAACCATGCTAATTATTATACTCATCTCCCATGTCTTCTGTCCACTTTCTCTGGGAAAAGCACCTCATTAGTTTCTGATTTATTTTTCCTGTGTTTCTTTTTGCTCAAGTGGACAGACATATGTATATTTTATTTTCCCATAATTTTTACCAAAAGTTCAGTAGTATCAGTACCCTCTTGCACATTGCTTGTTTCCATTTAACAATAAATGCCGATGTTTTTCCATATTGATTCATAGATGCCTTTGCTTTTATTTTTTGACAGTTGCAAATTACTCAATTTCATTGATGTTCTTTAGAGTTTCCTGTAGGGGTCCTAAATTGAGATACTGGTGATGAGTCTCCTAAATGCCACTGAATTGTGTATCTTAGAAGGCTAAAGTGGTCAATGTGGTGTTTTGTATATTAAACATTACTTAAAAATTAAAAAGGAGTAAGAAGTAATCTCTAAATACAGCCCAGAAAAGAATTACAACCTAGGAATAATATATGATTAATAAGTTAGAAGAGGGGTAATGGAATACCAAAATATATATAATTAAACAAAAGGGAGGAATACAGCAGTAGCATTCATGACACTAAGTCAGTGTGTCTTCATAATACAGTATGAAAATACATAAGCAAAAACTGACATATCTCAGTGGAGAAAAAGACAAATTCATAGTAAAATTGTGCAACAGGGTTTGCAAAAGATTTTTCAGATACCTTATAAGAGATGATGAACAAGTGAAACCTATTTTTAGGAATAAAGAATTATAAATAACCCAAGTAGCAAACATGAGCTGGTTGATATATTAAATTTTTTAACCCTGTTAACAAATATTCTGAGGCCTGCTTTACATCTCTGTTCCTCAGACTGTAGATGAAGGGGTTCAGCATGGGGGTAACTACCGTGTACATGACCGAAGCAATTACATCTTTAGAATCCCATGATGAGGACAAAAAGTAAACACCTACAATTGTCCCATAGAATAAACACACCACGAAGAGATGGGAGCCACAGGTAGAGAAGGCTTTCACGAGTCTCTTAGTGGAGGGAGCCCTCAGGATGATGGTGCCTATACGGATATATGAGCCCAAAACAATACACAAAGGCAGAAAAGAAATAATTCCTCCCTCAGTGAGGATGACCAGCTCATTGAGGGAGATGTCTGAGCAGCTGAGCTTCAGGAGCACAGTGAGGTCACAGAAGAAGTGGGTGATGACATTGTTGGCACAGAAGGAGAGTTGGACCAGGAGGACAGTGTGCAACAGTGCATGGGCACAGGCAATAATCCATGAGACAGCCACCAGAAGCACACACAACTCTTCTCTCATGATGGTGTTATAGTGTAGAGGGTGACAGATGGCCACATGCCTGTCATATGCCATCACTGCCAGAAGGAAATTGTCAACACTACCAAAAAGTATGAAAAAATACAACTGAGAAATGCATCCCACATAGGGGATGGATTGTTGCTGAGTCTGCATGTTCATGAGCATCTTTGGGACAGTGACAGATGAGAAAGAGACATCAGTGAGGGCCAAGTGGCGGAGGAAGAAGTACATGGGTGTGTGGAGGCGGGAGTCCAGCTTGATGAGCAGGATGATGAGTAGGTTGCCCAGCACTGTGGTCAGGTACATGCCCAGGAACAGAGTGAAGAACACGCCCTGTTCCCCTGGCCTGATGGGGAGCCCCAGGAGGAGGAACTCAGACATGCTGCTCTGGTTCTCAGGCCTCATGCTGCTCTTCTGTCTGCTGGAGATGAGGAAGGTTTGGGACTCTCAGAATCCTGGAAATACAACCAGGACTATCACATCTCATACTGTAATTTTCTGGGAAATACACAACTTTTTAACTATACCCTCATTAAGTTTTTGTACTAGTAAATGTGTGCATCTCTGCTATAACCCAGTCTGGTTCCAGGAAAACAGAGAGCCCAAAAGTAGCCAAGAAGACCTCATGGCACAGAAGCAGGAGGCATTAACTGTTCCATTCAGCCATTACTTACTGAACACTGAATCTGTGTTTGAACCTCTACTAAGGACTGAGATGCCACAGTGAACAGGAAAAGCAAGGTCCCCATTTCTGGGAGTTTAGATCTTGATGAGCATGGAGGGATAATTTGTACTCTAGTCCAGTGAATACACAATTCACTGCAGCAGAATTGGAAGATGAGCCCTGAAAACTGGGATCAATTGTATCTGCCATAAGTAAACATGAGACTCCAGTGCTGAGGAGATGTTGGAAAAATGTGACACTCTGCCTGTGAACCTGTGAAGTCCCATAAACCCACAGCTGTAACCTCAGGGACACTGGACAAATTTGAGGCCATTTAAAACCACTTGATGCCACAATAGCTCCAGAACCAGAAAAGTCCACAAACTGTCATTCATAACAGTGCTGAACAGTTTGGTGAACATCTGAGTGCTGGACTGAGGACTTCACCTGTGTTCCATAACTATATCCACTCATCAGGTTTACATTCCCAGATTTCACAACTACCTCACAGCTGCACTAAGATTTTGTGGTCTTTGACCTATTGCAGCTTTTAAGAAACAGAAACAGAAATAATAGAAACTTTGTAGGCACAGAGCAGTACACTGGTGGGGAGAATGGTACACAGACATGTGTATCTGTGTGTATATGACATGCAATGTATAATATATAAATGACATATATGTGTTACCATTTTCTATACCTCACAATTACCCAGTACTGGCTGCTTCATGGGGTTCAGTCTAATACATGTGTGCAATCAGCACCCATGCTCTAAACCATTTCACACAGAAACTTCCCATTTGTTGGTTAGGGGAGCCAAGCATGATATGTTGTTTTAGAGCTGTAAGGACTCCAATTTGTCCAAAATTTTCTTAGTCTCCTTACTAATTTTGTTCCTTCACATTTATATACGCTCCAAGTGAGAAAATTCGCCAATACATACAAATTTTCATACAATAAACAATTCCTGAAAGCCTCTCTTAGATTCTCAAGGAAGTGTAATTCTTTCTACTTTATAGATGTAAACCGAGGCCAAGGATTTAAATAACTTTCCCAGGTCACCAGTATTTCAAGGTCATTCTGCCCAATAACTTCTCACAGTGGGATGCCTGGAATTTTTTTTTTGCCAGGGATGTTTAGTAAAACTAAAGAGTTGCAACATACTGAGTGACTCAGTCACACTCAGGTACATGAATATGATAGCAGGTCCATTTCCAGAAACAGGATGTACTTTGGAGTTTGGTTCTCTCAGCTAATGGTGCCCCAGAATGGGGACACTTAAAGAAAAATCAAGGTCATTGATGCAGATCACACACACACACGGAGCTGATTTGTGAATATTACTTACCTGGTACCAAGTTCCTACCCTAAGGGAAAGAGAGCTCATAACATACACACACATACATACAAATCATAAGAAACACACAAATGAGGCATACAGAACACACATTGATGGACAGATCACCTGAAAACACACTCACAATGCATATCAACACACCTGAGTCATGACACACCCAGTAAACAGTTCACGACATATACACTAATACTACACACATGTCACCAAAAACACACAAGGCCACAAACAAGATCTCACAAGAAACACACAAAGAGCACATGCACCCCCAGCCACACACTCACCACAACAGGCAGCACACACCCTCCTATTAAAAATGAGGGCATGCTTCTGTCCCTTCTGACTCATCCCCTTCCTGGGGAAGGCCATCAGCTTGGGGCAGGTTAGCCTATTCAGTCACAAGTGCAGTCATTTAACCACTACAACATGCTATGCACATGGTAAACCACACTGCCATGCACATGGTGACTCAACAGGCCACTGTACAGAGCAAACCACAGAATGCACCCTCCTGCTCTCACACACCAGTGTGTCACCCACAGACACAGCTCACATGTGCACCAGCACATGCTGCTGAGCAGAGGTGGGATCCTTCTCTGTCCTGACCTTGGCTCCTCCGAGGTCAGGCATCTTCCTGTCCAGCACCAGAGCCAACAATGTCACCTCTGATGTGCAGCTGTGATGCAAGTACTTAGGGTCACAGGCATGAATCAGGAGTCCCTAATCACAGGCAAGAGGCTGGTAACTTGGTATACATCAGCTAAAACGGGGCCAGGTTAGGTCTAACTCAGGAAGAGTCAGGCTGTGAGTCAGGTACATGTGCACACACGTGTGCACACAAAAGCAACAATCAAACAGAATGTGCACGAGCATACACAGTACCTGAAAACTCACGGAGACACATGCACAGTCATGAACTCACAGTCTCATCCATGAATCCACCATCACACAGGCAGATCTATCCATAAGTGCAGACACCCAGCCTCTCTGACCTGTGCTCATTTTTGGTGAGTTCAAACACTTTCTGCTCCAGACTGTTGTCCAGCTCCTCAGGTTGTCCTCAGGAGTCCTAATATCGACACAAACAGGAGAAACATCTTGGGCCTTGGCACTTGTACAGACTTTCATTTTGTTTAAACGGCCCCAGAGAAATAACCTAAAATATAACCCTTACTAATGAGAGACTGGCACCCAGTCCCCAAGCTTGTGGCTAATTTCTGCCTGCCCTTTGGGGAGCTGGGTGTCCAAGAGCCAGAGGGACTAGAGTCCTAGGGGACAGCGTCTGTGATTCCAGTGATGCCTGGACTCCTCTTTTCTTAGGCATGTGCCAGCTGGGACAAAGGATTTGTCAACTTTTCATTTGGAAATTATTTTAAAGACACTGAAATGTTATAAAAATGATATCAAGAATTCCTGGAAAGGCCCTACCCTGCTTCCCCAATGTTTAATGTTTTACTATGTTTACCTTCTGTGTGCATGCATGTATTAATGTAACTATGTTTGAGGCTTAGGTTTTCAGCAGGTATGCCACAAAGCATGTTATTAGAAGACATGATATTAATTTTTCCATGTACTAGTATTTGAATCCTTGATCAATTGACTATGGTTGTGTGTGGCAGGTTGTCTTCTAAAGTGACTATTGTTTTAAAGTTAATATTTTCACCTGATTATTAATAGGTATTAATTGAGTAGATAATTTTGATGATATATAAACATAACTTTTCCCTTATTAACATTTCAGCCACTATATTTAACATCCATTGGTGATTCTTTGTTTTCTTTCCTTTTTAAAAAAATTATATTGTTTGATTATGCTGTTACTGTTGTCCCAGTTTTTCCCAATTTTTGCCTCACCCAGCACCCCCCACTCCCTTAGGCAGTCCCCACTGTGTTGCTCACATCCAAGGGTCTTCATATAAATTCTTTGGCTGCTCCATTTTCCTTACTTTACATCCCCATGGTTATTCTGCACCTACCTGTTTGTACTTAATTCTCACCTCTTCACCCATTTCCCCATACTCCCCTCCCTTCTGGCAATCATCAGCCCACTCTCCATATCCATTATTTTGTCTCTGCTCTTTATTATTGTCTAGTCTGTTTTTCAGTTTCAATTGTTGATAGATATGTGTTTATTGCCATTTTATTGTTCCTAGTTTTTCTCTTCTTCTTTTTCTTAAATACGTCCTTTCAATATTTCATATAATAATGCTTGGTGATGAAGAACTTTTGTTTTTTCTGTCTGGGAAGTTCTTTATCTGACCTTGGAATCCAAATGATAGCCTTGCTGGGTAGAGCAATCTTGGTTGTAGGTTCTTGCTCAATTGATTTTGAATATTCCTTGCCAATCCCTTCTACCCTGCAAAGTGTCTTTTGAGAAATCAGTTGACTGTCTTATGGGAACTCCTTTGTAGGTAACTACCTGCTTTTCTCTTGCTACATTTAAGATTTTCCCTTTATATTTAACCTGTGAATTTTAATGATGATGTGTCTTAGAGTGGGCCTCTTTGCATCCATCTTGTTTGGGATTCTGTGCTTCTTGGACTGGCATGTCTATTTCCCTCATCAAATAACGGAAGTCCTTTTTCATTGCGTTTTTCCAAATAGATTTTCAATTTCTAGATTTTTCTCTTCTCCTTCTGGCACTCCATGTGTGAATGTTGGGACATTTGAGGTGGCTACAGAGGCTCATTAAACTATCTTTGGTTTCATTTTTTATTCCTTTTTCTTCTTGTTGTTTTTTATTTCCTTAAGTTCCAATCACTGATTTCATTCTCAGCTTTGTCCACTGTGCTGTTGTTTTCCTTTAAATTGTTCTTTATTTTAATTCGTGTATCCTTTGTTTCTGACTAGATCTTTTTTATTCTTTTGAAGCCCTCCCTAAGTCCCTTGAGCAGCCTTATAGTCAGTATTATGAACTCTGCATCTGATATAGTGCTTATCTCCATTTTGTTTACTTCTTTTTCTGGAGTTTTATTCTGTCTTTGATTTGGGCCTTGTTTCTTTGTGTACTCATCTGCCTCCCTGTGTATGTTTTTGTGTATAAGGTAGAGCTGCTCTGACTCCCTGTCTTAGTAGTGTGGCCTAATGTTATAGGTGTCCTGTAGGGACCAGTAGCACAGCTTTTTCTGTTACCCGGTTGGGTACTCAAGGTGTTCCCTTTGTGTGGGATGAGTACACTCTCTTGTTGTACTTGAGCCTCAGTTGCTGCTGGCAGGTTAATGGGAATGCTTTATGCAGGCCAGTCACCTGTAAAGATTGGCTGTGACCACTTACCACCAACCTCCACCCTCTGTGGAGGATCAACTGTGCAGGAGCCAGGAGATGGTGCTCTGATATGGTCTGTAGCTGTCCACTGGATGCACAGACACTGAGGTTTCTGATGTGGTGCAGGACAAGGTTACCCACTTCCTGTGTTCTCCCTTAAGTTACCCTGCATGAGCTATCAAGCCACTTGAGATGACTGCTACCTGTGCTAGGCTTGAAGGTTCCCAGGCAAAGCCAAGCTCTGAATCAAGGCTGGCTGCTGCTAGTGCCAGGCCTGGGGCCACTTAGCAAGAGGTATGGGGGATGGTGGCTCACTGAGGCTGGCTGTTGGTTGTTAGAGATGATTAAGAAGTTGAGAAGCATGAGCCAAGAACAAGCATTCATATGGAAAGTCCACTGTTAACAGCCTGGGTGGGTCCGTGAGTTGGGTGAGACTGAGTCAGGGGCTGTGTAGGGCAGGGCAAACAGTGTAAGGCAGGTTGATGGAAACTCAGGTATGACACCTACATGTGAGCTCTGTGGCTTTGTAGAGGGTGGATCCAGAAAAGGGACAGTGACCTCTGCCTGCCTTTTTGCCTGGAAGAAAACTGTTCCCCAGCTCTCACCTTGATGCCAGACACTACATTTTCTCCCAGTGTGCCACTGGTGCCTCTCAAACTGCTAGCCCAGCGCTGGAGCCCAGAGGGAGTGAGCTTGAATGTGTATGTGTTTTCTTTAAGAAGTGCTTGGGAGTCTAGAAGTGTCTTCCCTCAACTCAATCTGCACTGATTTTTGCAGACAGAAGTTATGGAGACTCGTCTTCCTGGCCCTGGTACTCTAGGCTGGGGGCTGTTGTGAGATGGGACTCCTCGCTCCTGAGATATTCCTGTATAATTTTTATGTACCAAATGTGGATGTGGGACCAGTTTGTTCCACATCTCCACCCCCTTATATCAGTGTGGATGGGTGTGGTTTCTTTAATTCCATAGATGTCAGACTTCCACTCAACTTGATTCCTGACAGTTCTGAGTTATGGGTGCTCTGTAGTTTAGTTGTAATTTGATGTGGTTGAGCAAGGAGGAGAGCTGTGTTTACCTATGCCACCATCTTGATCTCATTGGTGATTCTTCTCTGACAAGATTATCACAAATGTGATGGCCATTTAATGTTTCAAATACTATCTTTTTCCTTTGTTTATTAATTGGGTTCTTTTATAAGAAGGAAGTTACCCTTATTCCCCACCCATTTGTTTTCTATTGGTTTATATCATTATGGGCTCATGGATTTTTACTTATTATTCTCTGAGTTATAATCCATTACTAGTGTTATTCTTTTTTAATCTCTATGTGTGTTTATTATTTACAAGGATTCTAAATAATATCAGGGAAGTCAACTACAGAATATATACAAAGGGAACACAAGAAGTAAAACCTCGAAACCAAGGACTAAAGGAATGTTTATCCATGGGGGTGGGTCAGGAATGGGGCAGGAAGAATAAGGAATGGGGAATAAAAATATATATATATTAGACTCTTTAGTCTAATTGTGATATTTATTTAAGATAGAGCTAGGTTCATTTGTCTTCTTGATTCTTCTTTGCTTTATTCACCACTCTTCTATTTATTGTCTAGCAGCAAAGACAACATGGTCATAACCACTGTAATAATTATACTCATATCCCATCTATTCTGTCCACGTTCTCTGGGTAAACCACCTCATTAGTTTCTGATTTATTTTACCTGTGTTTCCTTTTGCTGAAATGGGCAGACATATGTATATTTTATATCCCCTTAATTTTTACAAAAAGTTCAGTAATATCAATACCCTTTTGCACATTGCTTGTTTCCATTTAACAGTATATCCAGATGTTTCTCCATATTGATTCATAGATGTCTTTGCTTTTATTTTTTGACAGTTGCAAATTACTCAATTTCATTGAAGCTCTTCAGTTTCCTGTAGGGGTCCTAAATTTGAGATAGTGATGATGAGTCTCCTAAATATCACTGAATTGTGTATCTTAGAAGGCTAAAGTGGTCAATGTTGTGTTTTGTATATTAAACATTACTTAAAAGTTAAAAAAGAAGTAAGAAGTAATCTCTGCAAACAGCACAGAAAAGAATTACAAAATAGTAATAATGTATGATTAATAAGTTAGTAGAGGTGTAATGGAATATCAAAATATATATGAATATCAAAAGGGAGAAAAACAAGAGAGAATAAATGTGAAGCAAGTATATAACAAAGTTATAGGGAAACTATAAATTCAAACACATTATGATTACTTTAGATGTCAGTAGAAAAATAGGTCCAAAAATAACAATTGTTGCTCCACATGAAACGAACATAATCCAACTTTATTTACACCAGTGACAAAAGGACACCTTACTGACAATTTGGACACAGTAAAGTCTAAAGTGATGGAAAAAATGCCATGTAAAACCTAACATGAGAAAAGCTGCATCTTTACTAGATATACTATAGTAATACCTATATCTATATCTATAGATGCATCTATCTCTACAGATATAAAGTATCGGTATTAATATAAGAAGTAAATGAACTTTTATTGCAGGCCCCATTGCCAGAAATATCCAAATCTGTACATATATATATATATAGATATATATGTATATGTATATATATATATATGTCTATCTGTATGTGTATCTATGTCTACAGATATAAAATGACAATATTAATATGAGAAATAGATGAATTATTACTGCAGGAAACAATGTTAGAAATATCTCCTCATTTTAAACAAAGTAGTGTGCTTTAAATGCATTTTTAAAAAGCCTGTCTCTCTTTGCCTGAAAATTTTGCTTTGTAGCACATGTGTATTTTCATAGTATAATTATTCTGATCATGGCTGATTGCTGTCAGCCAGCATGACATCATTGAATGTGAGTTGGGAAGACGTGTGCATAATGAACCTGAAGCTGACAAAAGCCAGCATAAAAGATTCAGTTCAAAAAAGAAAGGAAAGTTCACCAGTAGTAGACCATGACACTAAATCAGGTGTCCTCATAATACATACTAAAAATACATAAGGAAAAACTGACATATCTCAGTGAAGAAAAAGACAAATTCATAGTTAAAATTGTACAACAGGTTTTGCAAAAGATTTTGCAGATACCTTATAAGGGATGATGAACAAGTGAAAAATGTTATGTAGGAATCAAGAATTATAAACAATCCAAGTAGCAAATGTGACCTCATTGACATATTAACTTTTTTAACCCTGTTGACAAACATTCTAAGGCCTGCTTTATATCTCTGTTCCTCAGGCTGTATATGAAGGGGTTCAGCATGGGGGTAACTACCGTATACATGACTGAAGCAATTATGTCTTTGGAATCCCATGATGAGGACAATAAGAAAACACCTGCAATTGTCCCGTAGAATAAAGACACCACAAAGAGATGGGAGCCACAGGTAGAAAAGGCTTTCAAGAGTCTCCTAGTGGAGGGAGCCTTCAGGATGATGGTCCCTATACGGATATATGAGCCCAAAGTAATACCCAAAGGCAAAAGTAAAATCAATACTCCCTCAGTGAGAATGACCAGCTCATTGAGGGAGATGTCTGAGCAGCTGAGCTTCAGGAGTACATTGAGGTCGCAGAAGAACTGGGTGATGACATTGTTGGCACAGATGGACACTCCGACCAAGAGGACAGTGTGCAACAGGGCATGGGCACATGAGGTAATCCATGAGGCAGTCACCAGCAGCACACACAACTCCTCCCTCATGATGGTGTTATAGTGTAGAGGGTGACAGATGGCCACATACCTGTCATATGCCATCACTGCCAGAAGAAGATTATCAACACAAGCAAAAAATATATAAAAATACAACTGAGAAATACACCCTGGGTAGGAAATGAAGAAGTGATGAGTCTGCATGTTCATCAGCATCTTAGGGACAGTGACAGATGACAGAGAAATGTCAGAGAAGGCCAAGTGGCTGAGGAAGAAGTACATGGGTGTGTGCAGGCGGGAGTCCAGCCTGATGAGCAGGATGATGAGCAGGTTGCCCAGCACCGTGGCCAGATACATGCCCAGGAACAGGGTAAGGAAAACACCCTGGTGCTCTGGCCTGATGGGCAGCCCCAGGAGGAGGAACTCGGACACGCTGCTCTGGTTCTCAGGCCTCATGCTGCTCTTCTGTCTGCTGGGGACAAAGGAAGTTTGGGAATCTCAGGATTCTACAATGACAAACAGGACCATCACATCTCATACTGTAATTTAATGGGAAAATCATGAAATTTTTCCCTTATTTTTTATTGTTTATACCATTACAGTTCCCATTTTTTCCCCTTTCCTGCATGCACCAAATCCACACTCCCCCACTCCCTTAGGCCATCACCACAGAATGGGTCATGCATGTATATTCTTTGGCTAGTCACTTCACCTGCCAGGTGCCATTGACCTACAGCTGTAAACTCAGGGCCACTCCACAAATGGGTGACTGTTTAAAGCCCTTTGATGCCAGAATAGCTCTGAAACCAGAACAGTCCACAAACTCTTCCATAGTAATGCTGGCCATCCTGGGGCCATAAACACTGCTCTGCATATTAAGTCAGGGGCTTTGTCTACCTTTTATAATCCAACATCAGCATTACATTCCCACATTAAAACATCTTCAGAACTACAGTAAGGATGACTATTCTTTCTCTCTTATATTAGCTGCTAGGAAATAGAAACATAAAAATGATATATATCTTACGTGCATATATAAACAATATGTATTGCAATTTTCTATCGGTTGAAAAAATCAAATACTTTTTAATAGCCAATAATGGAATAACTTTTTATGGTGACAAGTAGTTATTTAAATGTTGAATCACCATGTTGTACACACCTGAAACTAATATTATATTGTATGTCAACTATAATTAGAATAAACTTAAAGGGAAAAATTATCGAATATGCAGGCCAGTCTACTCCATCTGCATGATCACAGCCGGTACTCTTAACTACCACCCATGGACACCTCTCCCATCCTTGGTAACACCCTGAGTTACTGTAGGGTTGCAAGCAGTTCAATAGTTTCTTAGATCCCTACCTAGATAGTTCCCTCCATTTATACTGATCTGCTTTCTGATTGAGAAAAGACCATTACATTCATTATCATTGATTCAGAAATACATATTTATTGCACACTCAGCCACACACACTCTACAACGAGCAGCACACACCCTCCTATTAATAATGAGGGCCTGCTTCCACCCTTTCTGACCCATCCCCTTCCTGGGGGAAGGCCATCAGCATGGGGCAGTTAAGCCTATTCAGTCACAGGCACACTGATTAAACCACCACCAACATCCCATGCACAAGGCACACAGAGAGAAATCCAAACAGTACACCTTCCTGCTCTCACACACCAGTGTGTCACCCACAGACACAGCTCACATGTACACTAGCACATGCTGCTGAGCAGCGTGTGAACCCTCTCTGACCTGACCTTGGCTCCAGTGAGGTCAGTTGCCTTCTTGTCCAGCACCAGAGCCAACAGTGTCACCTCTGATGCTCAGCTGTGATGCAAGTACTTACAATCACAGGCATGAATCAGAAGTCCCTAATCACACACCAGGAGGCTGATACAGGGGTGTCCAACCTTTTGGCATCTCTGGGCCACACTGGAAGAAGAACAGTTGTCTTGGGCCACACATTAAATACACTGTAACACATAATCACAAAAATCTCATAATGTCTTAAGTAAATTTATGATTTTGTGTTGGGCCATTTCATAGCCATCCTGAGCCACATGTGGCCCATAGGCCACAGGTTGGACACCCTTGGTATATGCACTGAAACAGTCCAGGGTAGGTCTAACTGAGGAAAAGAGTCAGGCTGTGAGTCAGATACACAGCACAAGCACACACATGAAACTACCAAATGACATGTACACAAGGATGCATGTATGATACACAGAGACAAAGAGTATCACACAGAAGCCCACCTGTCCATAGGCAGATCCATAGTCAAGTGCACATTTACAGCTCCTCTGACTTGAGCTCATCCTTGGTGATCTCAGACCCTTCTGCTCCAGACTGTGGCCTGACTCCTCAGCTTCTCTTTAGGAGACTCAGACAAAAAGAAGAAATCTCTGTGGCCTCAGTGCTTCTGCAGATGTTTGTTTCTTAACGAACTCCAGAGCCATGAGCAAAAAGGTAACATATTAATTACTGATATGAGGACTGAAAGAGAGTCCCCAAGCTTCTGGGTGAGGGAGGAGCCAACACAGGGTAATTGGCCCACTTCTGACTGCCCTTTGGGGAGCTGTGTGTCCAGGACCAGAGGGGACTGAAGTCCCAGGGAACAGTGTCCCTGATGCCAGTGATGCCTTTCTTCTTGGACATGGATCCAGCTGGGACAAAGGATTTTTAAAAAGAGATTGTAATAATGGCTTATTTAGAAAAGTGTTGGTCAGTTTGAGGGGAACTCTTATGGGATAGTGAGGGATAGCAGCAGTGGGGAACAGGTGTAAGAGGAGGGGGTGGTCATCAGAACCTGGTGAGACATGTAGGTTTAAGAGAGGACCCCTAAAGAGGAACTGTGGATGGCCACTGTCACCCCATGGTCCAGCAGGGAGAACAACAGACTAAATGCCCCAACCTCTTTCTCCTTCTGCCTTTGATCTTTTGCTTGTGTTTTCCATTGGCCTATCCCAAAGGGCCAGGGGGTCCACTTGATGCAGCCCATAAAGGTCCAAGTCCTGAGACAAAACAGGGTTGGAGAAGCTGGAGAATGGACCTGGGGCAGTGGCGAGTATCTCGCATACATTAGCAGACATATATAACATACATTATGCTATAGATAATAAGAGGTCTGTCCGGAAAAAAAGCCAACCATTATTAATATAATGAGAACAGTTAGTGTGACATCGATGTAACTGGCAGCCTAGGTGAGTGGACTACAATGCATGTGCGTGAACAATGATGACTTTACTGTACTAGTCAGTGGGGACAGTACACACTGTTGAATGAGCATGTATACTGTGTGGCTTTCACTTTCAAAATGACTGAGCAAGTAGAGCAATGAATGTGCATCACATTTTGCATTAACCTTGAACATTCTCCCCAGAAACTATTTGGATGATTCAGAAGGCCACACCTGTGGGCAGCTGGTGAGTGGCACCTTCATCATGACAACATAGCCGCTCATGCATTATATCTCGTGGAGAGTTTTTTGAAGAAACACCAAATCACCCAGGTGACTCAGCCCTGCTGCAGCCCAGATTTGGTGCCCTGTGACTTCTAGATTTTCCTAAAACTAAAATCATCTTTGAAGGAGAAGAGATTTCAGACTTTTCAGGAAGATAAGATTCAGGAAAACATGACAGGGCATCAGATAGTGATTGGGAGAACTGTGTGAGGCTCCAAGGTGCCTACTTTGAAGGGGACTGAGACGTCCTTGTCCTTTTTACAATATTTCTTGTATCTTGTGTGTTCTTCAATAAATGTCTTTATTTTTCATATTACCTGGTTGGATACCTTCTTGACAGACAAGATATATATTGTCTGTCAGCTCATATATTATTATGAATTCACAATTCTCATTTAATTTCTGAGTCATAACCCATTAAGTTGTTATTCTTTTTGACTATATTATTATTTCAGATTCATTTAATATTTATGAGTTGAAGGGCCCAGCAAATTATAGAACTAATGGTGAAATGAAAAATAGGGGAAAAGTATTTTCACTCTCTAGGGAAGAACATAGGTGTTTCAGAGGTGAATGCTATATTGAGGATTCTGATTCATGGTTTCTGGCTTGAGTGTCCATCCCCTTGGCCACCACACTGTACCATCTTCAACTCAGCCCATTAGCATTTTCTCTTGGGCTTCTGGATGCTGCGTCATTCTGACCTCTTTAAGGAGAAAAATTTCTGGTCAATCATATGCTTGCACAAAAGAGATACTTATTTCTGTTGTGTTAATGTCATCCATCCCTTTTTCTGTCACAGGTGTATCTTTGCATAAACAAAAAATATATCTGGAAGTAAATTAAAAAGTAATCCCGTTTTCAATAGCATCAAAAACAATTAAATACTTAGGAATAAATTTAGCAAAGAGGTGAAAGACTTGTATACTGAAAACTATAAGACATTGAGGAAGAAATCAAAGAAGACACAACTAAATGGAAATATATCCAATGCTCATGGATTGGAAGAACTAATATTAAAATATCTATGCTACTCATAGTGATCTACAGATTTGATGCTATTCCCATCAACATCACAATGATAGCTTTTATAGAAAGAGAAAAAACATTCCTGAAATGTACAAGGAATGTAAATGTCCAACAACAGCAAAAGCAATATAAAACAATAACAATGCTGGAGGCATCACACTTTTTTATTTCAAACTATACTACAATGCTATAGTCATCAAAACAGTAAGTTACTGGCACAGAAATGGACACATAGGTTAGTGGCAGAGATTAGAGGGCCCATGCATACATTGTTGACTAATATTTGATGATGGAGTCAAGAATACTCAAGGGAGGAAAGACAGTCTCTTCAAAAAATGGTGCTGCTGTTACAGAACAACAAGGGGAGGCCAAGGGCAATATACTATTACCCAAAAGGAACCCCCAGGTTCATTTTGTCCGCCACCTATAGAAAAGATGTCTCTCAAAGCCAGAGATTCGTGAAAAGGAAAGGAAATGTTTATTTAATGCTACACAAACTTAAAGTAGTGACCTAATGTCTTCTTCAAAATCCCAAAGTCCCTTAAAACACCCACAAACACACATAGCCCTTTCTTCCCCCTTTGCCCATTCTGGGGTACCGTATCTCAGGAAAAGAAATAGAAGTCCTTGGCTCAGGCAGCCCCCAGTTCTTCCCAGTAATCCATCTTGGCTGGGAGACCTTTCTCGGTTTCTGGCATCCTCAGCTGTGTCACCAGGATCTCTGCTAAAGCTGGGTGGTGGTTCCCCCTACTAATGCTGCGGGGGTCACCACTCTGGCAAAGGCACGAGGTTCTCTCTCCACTGCTCCAGCCATGTGGTCCTCTCTCCCAGGGCCATGGGAGTCCCCACTCAGCCAAAACCATGTGGTTCTCTCCTGCAATGGCTGCCGTGTCTGGGTTTTAAATCCCCATGCCAGCTTTCCTCTGCAGCCCCATTCCTGACTCCTCCCGCACTTGGCA